CTCACTTGGAGCATGCGCTGGTTTTGATTGGGTGGCTGGCTATGTCAGCAAGTATAGAAAGTTTATGGATGATTAGACAATTCTGCTTAAATCTGTTACCTCCCCAGAGGTTTACCTTTTCAATTAGTATTTTTCCATAGAAACCGTAATGGAGCTGTGGTTTGATCTTGTCCTCCCCTCACTCCAAGTGGCTGTGTTTCTCGCCTTACATAATAAGGAACAGGGCAACCTTTGTGATGGGCTGGTACCTGGCTCTCAAGTGGACCATACAGAGGGAGGCAGCATTGCTTCAGGGAATCCTGGTACAGAGGCTCAGCAGGAGAGAAGAGGAAGTCTAAGGTGAAAGATAGGGTTAGGAGCAACCTAGGGCAGTGCTGGGGTTTTCAGTGACATGATAAGAAATCATAGGAAACTCCTCTTAGAAAACCTATTTTCTGAGCTATCACAGTCATGGGATCTTATTATCATTTGGACTCCAAGCTAAAGCTCTTCTGCCAGGAAGAGAGGGGTTAACACTTTTATTAGTCATTAATTTGGGTGAGTACTTTGAGTTTTATTCCTAAAAACTAAATAGAAAAACATATGGTAAATGATACCTATCTATCATCTATCTATTTATATCAGCAAACTCAAATATGCTGTTGGTTCTTCTCAACTTTTTGATCCCACATGGGTATAAAATTTATGTTGGGTTCTGAAAAAGATAGACCCTTCCCTCTCAAGGCTTTTGCTCAGTCTGATGTTTAAAAGAGTTTTATAAACTACCCATGCAAGGCCAAGGTTGGCTCCATTGGGAGGTGTGGCTGTCAATGGTTCTTGGGTTGGGTGTCCTTCTGGGAACCCTCCACAGCTCCCACAGTGATTTATATCTTTGCACTTACCCAGATCCCAGCAGTGAAACCTAAAATGACTTGACTTTTCTGGGAGTCTCTTCAGTAAGAACAACAAAAATCTGTCCTATTCCCACAACCATGCTCCTTCTTATGATGTTTTTTGTCAGGACCCCAAGGTAATTCTGGCAATTGCAGGCTACCTCAGAATGTGGCTGTTTTCTGTTTGGTTTCTGGGTCACATCGGGGTCACATCCAGGTCACCCTTTTGGAGGACCTTTTGAATTCTCATACTGAGCTATTGTGGAGTTCAAAAACTGGGAATGCCTGGGTCCTATCAGATATGTCAAGAGACAAAGGAATAGTATTGGCATTAGTTTGCCAAATAGTTACTTATTGAAATAGAGATCTCGGTGTTGGAAATAGAAAGATCTAGACAGTCCTTGCTGTGCAGAGACCCACAGAATGGTGGGCAAGCAAACATGCAAACAGAAAATCACATAGCTGGTATGGTATTCATAGGCTGGTATACATGCAGTGTTAGGATAGAGAACCAAGCCATTTCCTGTATGAGAAGGATTCATAAAACAGGTGAGGCCTGAGTTAAGCTATAAAGAATGATCCAGGGTTCATCAAGCTGGAAAAGGGATAAAAAATTCAGTCTGAAATAGCATATACAACATTACTGAAATGGATATTATGGCTAATCTACTCCAACTCAAGTGAGACAAGATGTAGATTGTATTTCCCTCTAGAGTCACTGCAATTTCCCTTTCACTTATTGGATTTACTTTTTGAGAGATAAATAGATATGAAGGAGGGAGCGGAGAACCAAGAATAAAGATCAGCTTGCTAGGCCATTGCTTGGTAATATCATCACATAGTAAACAGATGGGTAGACTCTCAAAATTATTATAGTTTAGTTGTGCCAACACCTAGTGACTTCCCATTGCTGACGTTGTGAAATTGAGCCCATAATGGAACATTCTACATCAAGCCTTGGTGACTGAGCCCACTGAGCAGTGCTTCCTGGAATCCAGGAGACTGCCTCGCTCTTTCTGTCCAGGCCACTGCAGTGCCTCAACTGGAGGCCTCTGACTTGAAGAGCAAACGAGCCTGAGGCCCTCCCTTGAGTTCCAAGAACCTGAACCCTGGGAAATATGCTCTCCTAGGCTCTAAAGGGAGGTGGGCTTTTGGTCCATGGAGTTTGGCGAAGGGCCCTAACCCTTCAGCAACTGTCACAAAAGGACTGTACCTGAAGAGCAGGCCCCGGATGAAACATAGCTTATGGACATTGAGTCTGTACCACGGAAAGACCCAGCTTCTTCCGGGAGTCTGGGCTCTGAGCAATTCCCCTGGGAAGCCTGCCTGATCGTGACTGTCGGAGATGGTGTCCAAGTTCTGATGGAAAGGGAGCAGCCCACAGCCACCTGCAGGTGCGGGCACGTCCCTGGCATCACCTACAGGCCTTCAGGAGAAAGACTTGCTTTCTGAGAAAGGCCTGGAGAAAAGATGAGGCTCCTGCAGAGGCCCTGCTGTGCAGGAAGATTGCTTCCAAGAAGCGGTTCATTTCTAGTTTCCCAACTGTGCATTTGGTCCCCACACAATTTATCTTCACGCAGAATCACATACCTGTGCGCCAGATGTGCACAGCTGTATGTGAGCAACTGCTGATCTGTCTGGATCACATGCCAAGTGCCTGTTTCTTTAAATTAGGGTGGGTTGGGATTTGGGCCGTGTGAAAATTTCATTTTGAAACCAGAAACCCAGAGAGCCCTGGCTACACGGGGGTTTGAGTGGAGCAGGATGATAAACCAACGCCGAATTAGTCTTTTCCAGGACCCCCCACGACCTCCCCCATTTTCAACCCGTGCAGTTCAGCTGCATTCTGGGTGTGCAGAGGTCGGGCTATCGGGAGACTCAGTCCTGCCAAAGTGTGCGGCCCCTGGAAATGCTTGTGGTGAAACTGCAAAACCTCTGCCCGGCCCTGGGGAGCTCTGGGAGCAGAATAGAACTTGACATTTTTAGTTTGTGTTTCAGTTCTTACCCCTGGACTCCGGAGCAGCAAGACCACAAAACACTCAGTATGAACTACCACCCCAGCGGCCAAGGTGCAGCTGTGCATAGGAGAGGGGGGCCCGAGACGCCCCAGCCTCTGTGTGCCCTGCGGGGACCCACAGCACTGGCACTGGCATTTCCCACCAGGCATGCCGCTCTCTCCTCTCATGGCCAAAGACAGTCAACACCAAGCCATGCCATTCCCTATTGAGTATCTGCTAGGCATCATTAGACGGTAAAGTGTTTTACCCATAATGAATGTTCACTATGTGTGAGTTGCTGATGAGATTATTGAAAAATTGCCTTTTCCATATATATATATATATATATATATATATATATATATATATATATATATGAAAATCTCTCTCTCTCTCTCTCTCTCTCTCTCTCTCTCTCTCTCTCTCTCTATATATATATATATATATATATATATATATATTTTTTTTTTTTTTTTTTTTTTTTTTTTTTTTGAGACCTATCAGGTTCTAGGCACTATGTACAAGTCTTCCGTTAATTCTCACAACTCTATAAGCAGGCGCTACTTTACTCTTTCCCCAGTAGGAAGACAGGCTCAGAGAGTTACTGGACTCCAACATTGCATCTCCTATACGGTAGAGCTAGGCTCAAAATTTAGCCACGTCTGATTTCAAATCCCATCTTCCTCCCACCATGCCACTGTCACTCCTCCTCTCTGAGCTGTTCCTGAGTCCTAACAGAGGCTGCTCAGTCCAGGAGTGCATCGCATGTGCTTCTCCCGGCCCCTGGGCCACCCCGCTTTAACGTGTCCCTGGACGGATGCCCGTGGTGCGACCTCTTAGCTATTACACGTCCCAGTTCCACTCTGGTTCTCACGCGGGCTGGCCCTGATGAATCAGCTCCCAGCAACAGGCTCAGTTTGAATTTCAGCAAAATTCTCTCAAAACAATAACCAGATGCAATTCCACTCACATCATGGCCACATAAGGAATCCATTCCAGGAGAAGTCAGAGGATGCACTGTGATGCTCAGGCAGATGAATGACTCCTCATCTGCCCTGGGCTCGTCTGAGAGCTCAAAGAAGAAATAACATGGAGATTAATATTGGAGCTCAGGCTTTGACTCCGGGCGCAGGAAGAACGCACGTATAATTAAGTCTTATAATGATGACCCCTCTGATCATGGATCACTCACGGGTAGTGGCTCCTTCCAGACACCTGCCCCACTCAAGGCAATTTCCTCTTTTCAGTCTCAAGAACTGTTTCAGACTTTGCTTTCCTACGAGCTGCTCAGAAGAGCCCAGCCACCATCCTTGGAGTAAAACAGGATCCTCCAGGAATTACATCATTTATTTTTCAACACAGATTAATTCAATTTGGTTATCAAATGTATGATCGCACGCCCTTGTAAAACTAAACCAAATAGATGCCCTGATGTAAATTTCAGCCCTGGTTTCACTTTCTTCCAGTGAGAAAAACAAAGGCTCTCAAAGGTAATGGGTATATCACCTCTCCAAGGGGGGGAAAAGGGTAGGCTTTCAATTTTCTTAAACATAAAACTTAAAATCCACATGTAATAATAAACAAATGGTTTAAGGCATTTTATGTCATAAATGTGCTGCCATAATTTAGTTATGAATTTCCAGGTCCAGGCATTATGCTAAAACCCAACGGTCATTATGGAATGTCTGTATATTTGATTTCCAAAGCTCCAGATAGATTTTAATGTGTTCAGTGTTATACCACTGCATTCCCAACGCTATTTCTGTATCCTTAGAGACATGTCCTAATAACAGCCCTCCATGTCTTCTGCTTAGTGAAAAGTGTGAATAATAGCTCCAAAGAGAAGCATTTATGCATATATACACACATATATGTATATATATTTATTTATATATGGTTTTTTAACTATAACATATGTTCTCACATGGCCAAGTGATTGAACCCAATACAGTTAACAACTTAGGAAGGGATCCATTGAATTTTCCAAGTCTCTTCATGACCAGAATTACTTTGTAAGGAGACCCTAAATGTGGAATAATCAACATGTTAAAGTAATCTAGATGTTTATGATTTGATAACTCTTTGGTGCATTGTTTAACAACATGTTTTCAATTTACTTTCCTTCAAATAGCTCCAAATAACCCCATGATTTGGGATGATTGATTATGGGAATGCTGCTTTTACTGTACATCCAAGGTAATTTTAAAATTACATCTTCTTTTCATTGTTAAGGGGTAAAATCATTTGCAGGTCTTGACATGATTTATCAGAGAAAGGGGGACAAAGGGTCAGTGTTGGCCTCACTCTGTTAGAACATTGTTATGTGAGCCCAGAAGTAAAGCATTAGACCCCATGGAAGCTGGGTTCTAGTCCCAGCATGCTCAGTAATCAGTTCAGTGGTCTTAGAGAGTCCTTCACCTCTTGAGACTCATTTTCCTCCCATATAAAAACCATCAAAACAATTGGGATCAAAACCTTCCTGAGAGATTCTGATGCATTATAATTGGGCCAACGCCTTGAAATGAGTATTTTCTGTTAATAACCTGAGGTTTATAATTATACAGGTTTGGAAAACACCAGGTTAAACAACTTCTAAGTCCAGCTCTCACGTTCAGTTCTTGAATGTAGTTTTCCTGTCCTCTGGACATTTATCTTTCAACATAACCATGTTCTTAATGATCAACCTTATGTCACTGTATGGTTGCTGGGTATTTCTCTCAGACACTGTGCTCAAGCTTGTATGTAAATGACCCGTTTGATTCTCCTCAGAACTTGGCACTGTCAGTGTATTCGTCATGGCTAGTAATCCTACCTGGGACAACAAACTCCCAATCTCAGTTGCTTGAAACATTGATGTTTTGTTTCTCACTCATGTAAAATCTCACTCCATCTTGCAACTATGCTGCACACATGTCCCTCATGGGAAGACCAGGACAGGAGACATTTGGATCTTACCTACCGTGATGGGAAGTGACGAATGACACTTCTGTTTACAACTTACTCTGTTAAATATTCTCATGGCCCTGATCCAATGGGAAGACTGGGAAATATAAGGAGCAAATGCAGATCTAATAAATAAAACTGTCTCTGCCACAACCAGGGATCTAAATTTTACAACTTTAAGAAACTGAGGGTTATGAAGGCCAATTTGCACTTGAAGAATGTCAGTGATGAATGTGTCACACGGTATCTGATTCAAAAAAGGAGGCATGCATTATTCACAATAGCCAAGGTGTAGAAACACCTAAATGTCCATCAGTAGATGAACGGATAAAGAAAATGTGATACATACATACAATTGACATTATTCAGCCTTAAAAAAGGAAAACCTTGCCATCTGTAACTACATGGGTGAACCTGAAAGACATTTCGCTAAGTGAAATAAGCCAGGCCAGAAGGACACATCCTGCATGATTCCACTTGCATGAGCACCCTAAAAAATCAAACTCATGGAAGAAGAGAGTAGAATGGTAATTTTCTAGGGTTCAAGGGAAGGGGAAATTGGGAGGTGATATTCAATAGTAATAAGGTTTCCCATTTAACTCCTCTCTAAAAATAAAATAAGTTTATGGATGTAACAGCTGTCAAGCACAAATTTACAAATACTAATAAAATATAAAATACTGTTTATGTAAAAAAGGCATGACTTCCATGAATAAAACTTTTTTTTTTTCTTAGAGAGAAGAGGATTTTCTCCCAAATATCCTACCGAAATGGTATTTTTGAAGCTATGCTTGCTACTCTGTGTGCTGAAATCTGAAGACTTCTTCCTTCCTGCAGCAGACAGGTGCTCCCACTACAGAAACATGATGTCCCAGGGGACTTTCCCGAGCTCTACTTTGACTCCAGTTTGCTCACTACAGTGAAATAGGACCCCCAACATGTCAAAGAATCATCCTTTTTACCTTAGCTCTTTTAAGCCATCCTAAGCAGAGATTATTTCTTTACTACTAAACCTGTGAAATAACAGGTTCGTCCATTCAAAGCACACCTGTTGTAAATAGATACTTTTTCTCTCTTTCTAGTCTTTGTCCCTGAGAAACTTCTCAATAACTCAACAAATAATTTTAAGGGTGTTGAGAGAGAGATTTTTGGAATTATGATTCAGAAAGATAGGCCCTGTATTGGAGAAATATCTAGTCCCCAGCAAAAGCAAAACAAAAGGAAAAGATCAACCAAAGGACTTGTGTGCACACATATGAGCCTAACCAGTGGTCAAGGACAATAGGAGGGTGGGGGCATTGGAATGGGGGGTTGAGTGGGAGGAGGGATTGGAATGGGGGGTTGAGGACAAATATGTGATACCTTAATCAATAAAGAACTTAATAAAAAATGAAAATAGCAACAAATGACAGATAAGTCATGGCAAGACTTGAGGTGAGGGCCATAATCTATATACTTATGACTGAATGGAAGCCTAGGGAGGGGAACAGTTACTTCTGCTGGGTTTGTGAAATCTGGAAGGGCATCATTGAGAGAAAATGACAATTTTTCTAGGCTGTAAAGTGAGGCATCACTGGTTCCTTATAGGAGTAGAGTATGGAATAGCCATCCAGGGAAAGAAGACTTGGAGCAGGAACTCAGAGGTGGTAAAGTCTTTCTATTTGCAGAAAGTAGTGGGCTGGGGCTGGCTGGAGATCAAATGTTCAAGAAGATAAATATTCTTACGAAGGAGTTTGGACTTTACTCCACATGCATTATGGAGGCATCGAGGTTTATAATTATGGGTCTAATTATAGTGGTTCTCCACCTTTCTAATGCCGCGACCCTTTCATACAGTTCCTCATAAAATTATTTTCGTTGCTACTTCACAACTGTAATTTTGCTACTGTTATGAATCATAATGTAAATATCTGTGTTTTCCAATAATAAGAATTGTAACCTGGCATGTGACCCCCCTCAGAATAAAGATAAAATTTCTCAGGTTTTCTTTCAGTTAGTATGGTTGTGTGACTAAGTTTCACTCAGTGGGACATAGCTAAAGACCCAATGGCAGTTCCAGGCATTTTTCTTACAGACAGCTGGCACCTGGGGCTTCTCTTGTTTTCTTGCTGCTACTTAGAATGCCGATGTGATGATGATCTACTTTGGCCTACTTTTTAAGACCATTTGAATGGAAAAGACCAACTGCACTTTTCACCACTTGAACTGCTTTTGCATTTTTGTCAAATACCATTGGGCATACTTATGGAGGTCTATTTCTGTGTTTTCTATTTTGTTCCATTGATCTGCCAATGCCATGTGTATTAATTATTGTATCTATATAATAAACGTTAATGTCAGGTAGAGTGGTTCTCCCACTGTATTCTTTTTTTCAAGATTCAAGATGCATTTTAAGAAATATATTTTATAGCATGGAATACATATACATGAACACACACACACACACACACACACACACACACACATATGAAAACCCTTCCATGCAAAGATATATTGATTATTTGTGATGCGCCTTTCTTTTCTAACCTATGATTCATCCTATTTTTTCATAACAAAGTGCTGGTCATGACCCAGTACATTGACATCACCAATGGATTTTTTTTCAACTTGCAGGTTAAGAAACACTGAACTAGAAGGGAGTGGGGAGTGGATATTTACCATCAATCCCCTGGGTCCCTTACAGGTCAAAGTAGCAATGACAGAAACTGAAGGTGCAACAACCATGAGGTTGAGGTTGCCCTGTTCACATTATTTTTTTCCTAACTGGGAGAATGATTTCTAAGAACATACAGCCCACTTTTGGGGTTGTTGTCTTACTGGGATAAAATTGTCTCTAAACATAGGTTTGGTTTCCTTTGAAAATGGAAAAACCACTCAGCAAGAGTAAGAGGGTACTTATTATCACATAAATCAATAGGCCAATTATTTTACATATATTATCATCTTTTATGCACATACTTCCCTAAGACATATATATTTTCCATTTTACATATGAGAAAAATATAGCCTGATAGAGATTAAGGGATTTTCTCAAATTTCACATCTGATAAGCAGCACAATTCAGAATCAAGCCTGTATTGGTCTCACGCCTTCTCCCAGATGTCATGCATGAAGCTAACCTAGGCACCATGGGTCGTCAATGCCAGGAGCTACAAAGGAAGGAGATGGACTCTTTTGGACGGTTTACAAGAAGGTTCTTAAAATGACAATGTAACAACCTACTTGGTACAGGATGCTGAGAGCCACACCTGAGCTGTACAAAGTCTGGATCACTGATGAAGATGCTACTGAACCGAGCCATCATACCAGCCAGGACTACTAGTCTTGTACATAAGTAGGGAAAAATTTTTATCAGGTTTAAGTCACTTATTTCAGGTTTATGTTACAGTTGAATCCAATCCTGATAGAATCACTATCCCACAAGAACAGTGGCAGAAAAATATATATCCATCACATAAATTCACTTTTATAAGGGAATGAAGTCAAATTATTACCCCCAATAAAAAGGTGTTTTGCAACATGACCCAGGAACTTAGAAGCACCGTTTGTTCACTGGTTCTCCTTGTCTCAGTCTCACATGGACATATGTGAGAGCTTGGTCTGCATGATGGCAGGATATGACGTGCTAGGGAAAGAAGAGCTTCCAAGGACAGCATAGGGATTGTCAAGGTCGGGTCAGCAGTGTACAACCCACCCCTCTGTCCCCTACATCTCGACTCTGTAGTCACAAGCAAGACGAAGAGCTTCCTTGTTTTCCATTTATTAAATGTTCTAGGACAGTGGTTTTCAAACTCATTAGTCAACAGAGCCAGATATCAACAGTATAATGATTAAAATTTCTTTTGAGAGCCAAATTTTTTTAAACTTAAACTATATAGGTAGGTACATTGTTATTAACTTAATTAGGGTACTCCTAAGCTGGCCTTTGCTAAAAACTCAAGAGGCCAAAGAGCTGCATGTGGCTTGAGAACCACAGCTTGCTGACCACTGTTCCAGGACAAGAAAGAGAAAAGACAATGGTGGATACGTGGGCTAGAAGAAAAATGAATTAAATTCTTCACTGAACAGAAAGTTCAAATTAAAAAAAAAAATGCAGGATACTAATTTGAACCATAGCCCCATGTCTAATGCTTTTAGCCAAGGAAAGGAGAGAAAAGCAAAAGAAATCTGAGTCAGAGGGAAGATGTCATGGTGAGTTTCAATGGGATGAATTCCTTATTAATTTTAAAGAACACGATGCAACATGGATTTAATTATACAAGTCAACCCACCCACATTCCTCTGTTGCTTTTCACACACATGGACTTCTGAGGATGATGAAAGGTGGGTGGGGAGAAAGGGAAAAGGAGGAAGAGCACGGGGTGGCTAAGGCCATGGAGAAGGGGGCTCTCCTCAGGGTGCAGGCGCTCTGAACTTGACAACCATGGTGCCTCACTCTAGTCACTACAACAGTGCCAGACCACATCAGCCTCAGCCCGTCCATTTACCGTGACTTCAAGGACACTTACATTTTGTTCTATTTACTGTTAAAGGGAGAGTCTTAAAATTTAGAGATGGAGCAAAGACATATCACAAAGGAGACAGATAGCTTAGGAAAAATCTCTTTCAGCCAATTTTCATTTCCTGTGAAAGGCACAGCTCAATCTTACCAAGATTTTTCACTAAGAACAAACAAATCTATTAAAATGAAAGAGTTGAAATTAATCAGAAAATGTTTGTAAATGTATATATATTTTATATATATATATTAAATTTTTGTTGTTGTTAATCCTCACACAAGAATATTTTTCCATTGAATTTTTTTTCTTTAAGAGAGAGTGGAAGAGAAGAGACAGAGAGAAACATCAATGTGAGAGAGACATCAGTTGGTTGCCTCCTCAGGTGTCCTGACAAGCACTGGGGATTGAGCCTGCAACCAAGGTACATGCTCTTGACCAGAATCGAACCCAGGACTTTTCAGTCCTGCAGGTGGACACTCTACCTGCTGAGCCAAATCAGCTAGAGCTATATTTTTAATAACAATTGTATTGGAGTAAAACATGATGTTTTAATATACAAAAATAGTGAAATGATTACTACGGTCAGATCCATCTCCACATTTTGGTTTTGTGGCGAGCACCTCTGAGATCCACTTTCCTAGCAAATGTCCGGTATACAGGATGGTTTGATCAACTATAGTCCTCATGCTGCACTAGACCTGAACCCAGCATTCTACTTTCTCTGGGTTCTCCCGGGGGCTTTCTACCTGTGCTATAATCAACAATAATCCGAAATCCGTGCAGGTGAAGACATCAACAATTTCCCGTAATCAAGACCACATTGTTTCTGCCTGTTTTTTCTGTTAACTGTCAGGTAACACCCCAGCGAATTTTAGCTGTCAGAGAGCCCCAGTGACCATTCTGTACCTATAGTTTATGTCTGGACATTTTTAGGCTCTCAGACTGAGGGCATCTCATTTGGAAGGGAATTGGTAGTAAAATGATGGGCCCATAAAGTCACAGGGCATCAGCAGCTGAGTTCAGTTGAAGACAACAACAAAACCAGTCTAGCTCTTTAAAACAAAAACAGGCAAGACAGAGAAAGACATACTCTCACTTGGAAGGCTTTGGTAGGCCTCCAGGAATGACTCCCAGAGCTACACCACTCAACTGGCCCGTCAGGGCAGCTGCCACCTCTCCTACCATCAGGGAGATGGAGAATTGGAAACACTACCACTGAAACATGGCTCTAGGGACACAGTCTTAACCATAATCCAGGACTAGGAGCTGCCTTCAGAACAACTGAATTTAGAACTGCACCATGTCTGCCAATCTGCACTGGCAAAATAAACGTCTATGCCATGCACTACCTCCTGATCAGGACTCTCTTTGGAGAAACTGGCATTTTTTTTTTATTTTATTATTATTATTTTTTTTTACAGAAGGAAGAGGTTTGAGATGAAATAAAGCAACTTCACTTGATTACCCTTCAAGTAGCTTGCTGTTAACTCATTTCAGGTTTTTCTGGTGGAGGACGATAATACTATTCAAAAGTCCAGATCACCTTTAAAAAGACCGGTGAACAACCATAATTACTGGGGAAATTACTCCATCACCGTAAGACCTTTGGGTGGTGGCAAAAGCAAGCAGAATAAAGATAGTTCTGTGCCAACAGCGGTTTCCGAGGAGGCAAGAGCAGCAAAGCAGCAGCAGCTGGGCGCTGGGCGCCAAGGGGGAGCCAGCTGCTGTAAAACCACCCCTGATGGAGCACCTACTCAGAACCT